AGAGACCTGCTTAGCGAATTCCGAAGTTCAGAGGAAAAAATCTTTGAGAAGAATTCTTGGTGGGTGGGGCAAGTCCTCCCATCAGCGTCTACGTGCGAGTCCAAAACGAAATTTCCAGTTGCTTTTGTAAAATCATTCGTGTGCTAAATCGGCCGGAGATAGTCGGGTAACAATTTTGCAAACATTTTTTTTTTGAATGCTTAAAGGGTGAGTAGAGGTGTGTGTGGAAGAAATTTCGTTGCTCTAACTGTTGATCCAGAGGCGCAACAAGTTTATAGGAGTGACGCGTTTCTTTAGCCTCATAGCCTCATCCGGTATACGGTAAACACCCCGGTTTCTGGCCGGTCTCCAGTTTTTGGCCAGTCAGGCTTAAATCCAGCATAATTAGTTGATGTGGCCGTTTTCAAGCATTCTATGAACATCTTCCCGTACGAGGACCTATTACTAGTGTTTCCCGGTGTACGCACATGGTGTCCACTTCCTATGGGAGTCGAATCAGCGTGGCCAAAAACTGGGGTGTTTACCTTATGCGGCAATTGTATCTATAGTTTCGTGATTAAAGAAGTCGTGTTTAGGCTATCATTGGAAGAACCAGGTGGAAGATGGAAAGGAATAGACGTCACGGGCCGTGAATAGAGTCACTAGAGAAGCCGACTCGCTAGCATTATGGAGCAGCGAGAGCCTCCAGATAAAGGGAGACAGAAAATAACCGCTTTCCCGGTAGTCAAATGTATCGAGTGCAAAAAAAAAAAACAATATTCTCATATAACAGTTTCCCTGACCATCTCGCAGGAAAAAGGGAATGTGAAAGCATAAATGCCACACATCTAGTGAAATTCCTAAACGAGCGTCAGATCGAATTCAAATTCTCTCACAACAATCACGGAAGGAACTTGGAACCTAACTACTTCAGCACATATAGCTGATTAATTATGGGAAATTTCAGTACTCTGTATCTTAGCAGAGACCTGAGATAAGCGACAGTGAACTTGAATTTTAAAAATTCCCACGACTTCAGCGCCCTCTACTTCAGGTCTGCAGGGAGAGTGATTTGATCATTTGCACACCTCCACGTCTCTAATAAAAGGCCAAAGTTTGTTGGCTGTAGCATCGCTCGTTCTAGGTGTTCCTTTTTTTTTGCCGGCAGTGTAGATAGGAATAGACACGGTGGATCAGCAAAATAGGACAAGTTTTAGGGATTCCGTCTTGCTTGTACAGTATAATCAAGCAACTAACTGGAGTCTCCTGATCAAGGAATACTTACTTAATTATAGTTATCCTGGGAGTAGAATGTATCGAATACTAACGAAAGCGATACTTCCTTCTGGTATCGACTTTTTCCTTCATGGAGGATCTGTACGAGAAGTGATATCATTACAGGAACCCTAACAAAACGTCCACCCCCTATCCACCTGGTCAAACAACCAGGTGGCTAGGGGGTGGATTTGGTACCAGGTGAACGTCCCCCCCGGTGGAAATCCACCAATCCATTCGCGCCAATGTAGCGCAGGGCACTGGCTTTAAAACGGATACGGAGAGTCTTGCTGAGAGTACTTCCATCGTCCCATTGTCATAGGCTACGGTAGAATATAATGTATTAATGGCGTCGAACAAGAGATTTTTATTCTTTCTCCAACCTCCGCTGTCGTCCCTCCAGCTTTCACACTCCCATCACATCATGTCATTCAGGCAAATCTGCAAAACACTTTCACATTCAGAGACACCATATAAGGCACCGTATTCATTCTGAACGAACGTTCAGAATTTCGAACCCCTCGGTCCATTCATACACGTATGAATGGACAAAACCACAAAACTCTTTTTCATTCAAGAGCCAAGTGAGTCCATTGACAAGGGGTGGAACAAAATACTCGGAGTGAGGCATGAGGATTAGTGAACCCAGCAGTCCAATGGTATCAAGGCTAATCACACTCGATGTCTCAAGAAGTGCAATCGAATGAGCGTCGGAATCCGTGTAAGGGAGAGAAGAATCCTTATTCATCCAACCGGTGCCGAGGCGGTGTCGTTTCCAATCGAGTTCCTTCCACCTCGGAAAGTCCAGATCAGTGGGCAGGGATTCTTCTCCCGATCGACTCATTCGGAGAGTGCTTTATTCCTTGATGGACGAGCAAAGCTCTGGGAACTTGAGCGATCTCGTGTCGCAGTCTGCTCCCGTGTCCTTACCACCCGTCACGTAGAGCTGCGGTCGGCTTGCGAAGATTAGCGATCTCGGTGGAAACGAGGATTCGGGGACTAGGAATTCGGGAATTCATAATCTACGTAGATCCTGAGAATAATAAAGGATCTTTTTGCTCACTCACTTTGGGGTGAGGAAACACTGGTAAGAGAGGAAATTTCATTGAAATGAGTCTGTCGGATGCCGAACAAGTAGATGCACCACAACTGACCTGTTCCCGAATACATTTATGAGAGGAACAAGCATGACAGTTCTTATGGTGACGTAATTGCAATGAAAGGACTGCCGTCTCGTCACGATCCGTGCAAAATTGTCAAATATTTCAAAGGGTGCTAGGACAAAATGTCGCCAGACAAAACGTCGTCGGACAGAATGTCGCCGGGACAAAATGTCGCGGAAAAATTTTTTTTGACAAATGTAAAAGAGACATATTATCGCTTGAAAAAATATTCGGCTTACGTAATTAAATGTGTGTGATAGTGCTGACGATCATGTTGGAATCGTGTGTAGAGGTCGAGAAATGGACCAAAGGGTGACCCACTAGCATTTTAAAAGAACCTTGACAACGAACATACAGCTAACATGATAACCATCTATAGATAATAGATCATTGAAACCATTTCAGGAAGCCCATACGTTCCCATGTCTCTTACTTTCGGCGAGTTATTTGCGAGAGGAATTTGAATGTTTTCTATGAAGGGGGGTCGAAGAGACCCCTCTTAGATCTGCGCTGAAACGCGTTTGGGGGGGTGGAACGCCTCGCACTTTTGGGTATGCTGTGTAAGTAGACAGGGTAGCGAAGCGCGCCTTTGGCATGGGAATCCGGGTAAGACCATGACATCGCGAAATCCGAAACGTGTGAAAATGTCCTTTTCACCGAAAATCTCTTTCTGTTTGGTGTGAGTTTTGTGAATTCCATGTCATTCCATTTCACATTGGATCGGAGCTGTCATGAAAATATTTTTTCCGTCACCATTATTCCAAATTTTTTCACTTCAATTCCTAACGATCCCGGTTCATCCTCACTGCATTTTCCCTGTTCAGATGTCTCAGTCTAGAAGAGTTCTGGTAGGTATGAAGATCCCATTAGCCAATGGATGGATATACTGGTACTTGCATTTGATAACTTCCCATTCGGCACAACAACGTTGTATCAGCATTGAGAATAGGTTGAAACGCTGAGACTTGGTTGAAGTTGAGAATTCGACGAAAAATCAACATCAATGAAATGCTAGCTATTCATAATTAACCGTATTTTCAGCATTTGGGGACTACTCGTGAATTAGGGAAGTCGTTCAGAGGCTATTAGGAGCAAATTTTTTAAAAATCTTTTTCTCCATGTTGTTTTTACGTGGAGTTATCCACATCATATCAACAGAAAATAGGCTCTACGAATCGACGCGAGATGGCACATAACCGCCAATTCCGCGATTCTTATCCTGATGCCTTTAAATAAACAGTACCCTGCATTTTTCATACAGTACCCGATCTTTTCCCATTGACAGCATAGGGGAAGGTATAGGAATTCCTAGATAGACATGTTTAAGGAGGTAATCAGGTAGAAGGATACCCAAAGTACTTCTGGCTAGTGAGTCCGAGAAGACACGCTCAATTTCCCTAAATCTCCACATGGCATCCCTTACGTATACTCATCCATGATGGATAGAGTATAAAAACCATGCCCGCGAGGTTTTTTTCCTGAACTGAACTGAGAGGATTGAATTATGCAAGTACTCAATGTGAATTCTCATTCATTAGAGGAAATAAAACTTTGAGTGTCTTTTACGTGGGATGATTGTATTCGGTAGAGTAATGCTAGTATCATACCACGTGGGAACCATCTATTATATGAGTTATCGAGTCCATATTCAATTTAATCTGGTAATCAAAGCTCATTCAGACCCTGGAATAGGGAGGAGGTACTATAATGCCCTTATGTTGAAAATTCAACGTTGACACAACGTCGCACAGCATCAACTTTTCTACGTTGAGCTGTGTTTCATTTCAACATTGTGGCAACATCATGGCAACATGTTACGTTGAAAAGTCAACCTTTTCTCAACATTGAGGCAACATTGTCATCAACCTTTTTTCAACGTTGACACACCATTGTTGTGCCGAATGGGTTATTTCACAATTGAGTATTTGTGAATACTCCTTGGTGAACAAGTTTTTGAATCATAGACACATTTCCTCGTAGACCTTCGACGACCGTTCCTTTTTTGCATCACCTGAGGGAAAATAATTTTTCTCAACTTCATTATCTCCTGAGCTCTCTTCAGCTTCTGACGAAGGATTTCTACCTCTAAACAATGAGCATTCATGGTCATCCGTTACGATGACTTTATGTCATTGTTCCCATTCTCATGAGGAGACCTGCTGGTCCTCCATCAGTTGAAATGGATCGTCAGACCGTCAAATGGTCACAATTTCACGTTAGACGCCTAACGTGAACGTGGGAGGTTGCGTTGGATCTTCGGCAAGATTCTCTATTGGTACGGCATCTTTTTCAAGCGCCTTATAGCGTTTCGATCATGATAGGAATCTAAGGAGAGGGATGCGAGCACACAAAATCATATCTGTGGATAGATTTTCTTCAAAGCAATTCAAACCATTCATTTTCTCCGGCTAGACATTGGAAATTCATGGAAGGAAATATTTCATGCCTGCAGAGTCTCATAAGTATTCCTTGAGGATGCGACAATGCAATCCATGCTACTGTCCTTCATAACAACTGCTACTAAGAGAGTGAATTAAATAAAGGAACCTAAGAATATTGTCGAAATCAACGAACTTGTCGGCAATGTATGTACGATGCTGCCTAGGTGGCTCTGATAAACGAGAGTATATGTATTACAGCTATGAAAGACATGAGGAAGCGTGTGGGACCTGTCTTGGCCTTAGGCAGGGAGGTAGTGATATCCTCAAGACCAAAGTGCCCGCTTTTATAGTGGAACGTTTCACATGCGCAAGATTTTACCCCCACCTCTCCGAACCCCCCTGGGTTGATCCACATCTTGACATTTCTTGGTGAGGGGGAGAGAAGAAACCTGAGGAAAAAGATTAACTTTCCTCTTTATCCATCCCCCTTACAAGTCCTCCTCACCCCTAATCCTCCTGTTTTAACCATGGCTGATGAAGGAGACTCCTACTCCCGCGTCGAGATGCCCTAAGCTAAAAAGGTCATTCAAAATAGATAAGGAAACCTGGAGCAGTGGAGGGGAGAAATTCTACAGTATTTAAAGCGGGGGTTTCCAACTCACAACTCAGTTCATCTGCCTACTGTACCATTCCATGACGCGATGGAGTTCATTCAAACACAGAAGAACACGCAGAAGCTACTGCATCAAAACTACCGATTCACGAAGGAGAAGAATGCTGTTCAAGGGAAGATCATTTGGAGATATGAAAATAGGACTTGTAGAGCAAGAATGCATACTTTTGGAGATCAAGTGCTGAAGGAACCAGGTGAGCAGAGTATTTTTGCCTATGTTTATACATTCGGAAACCTTTGCACTAATGTATTTGCGTACGAGCTGAAAATTTTTTTCTGGAGTCTATAAGTAAGAAATCTGAGATATTCTACAGGAAATAATCTACGTAATAAATACATACTGTATATTATTGAAATAGACGTGCTTCATGAAACAATTTTGATTGCCAATTATAGCAGTGATTTCTTTTTCTGTTTTTCTTTTTCTTTAAGCCTTTCTGGAATCATGGACCTGACCATGGTAGATCTGAAGTTGACCAAGTACGTGCTGATATGAAGAGACGGGCTAAAGAAACTGAAGAAGTCACCAGAAATATCGTTCAACACGGCTTAGCTCTTGTTCCCCTTGACAAGGTTCATATCTTACCAAGTCAAGAAACTTTGAGCCGTGACATCCGCCGTCAGAGACAGGAAGCTTTAGTTGGTCAGAAGGAAGTGGATCATTTTGCGAACACGATCACTGGAGAGAAATTCCTGAGAGTCAAGGAAGATGATTTCCTCCTGTTCGCAGCTTCAACTGACCTTGACATCTTGAGACGAAGTCGGCATTGGTTCGCAGATGGGACATTCAAGGTTAGCAAACCTTCATAAACCAAGTTCTTCACAGTTACCTTATCAGTTCATGTAATTAGGATGATGCAAGAATTCGAGTGATTCGAGTATCTCACGAATTTAATACGTTATCGTTTCTTCCATATTACTTGCAATATAATATAACATTTATTCCTTTTTTTTTTAGGTAACTCCCAAGAAGCATGATCAGCTCTACACCATTACATGCTCTTCAGCGTGACGTCAACCATCCATGTGTTTACGCGCTTCTACCAGGACGAAGAGAGAGAGATTACAGACGTTTGCTGGAGCATGTTTTAACCTTGGTCCCCGGTTGTGTCCCTACCACAGTGGTCATAGACTTTGAGCTAGCGGAAATCAACGCTTTCCAAGCGACATTCCCTGGTGTGGACATGACTGGCTGTCACTTTCATCTGGGGCAGAACATCTGGAGACGGCTTCCAGCGGATGGTTTGCAAAGTATCATAGATACATCGCGGATGTCGACTTCGCCTCAAGAGTAAAGTGTTTGATGGCGTTAGCATTGTTCCACCCGACCAAGTAGCTGCGGCCTACGAAGAATTGGTATGCAGCGATGACTTTCGCGAATTGGATCCTCTTTTGGATTATTTCGAAGATAATTATTCAATACATCGAAGAGCTCGGAGAGGACGAAGAGCCGCACCCCGATTTCCCATTATGGAACCAATACCACCGAGTTCTCGACGACCTACCAAGAAGCAATAACACATTGGAGGGGTGGCACCAAGCATTCAATCACTCTGTTAGTATCGCCCATCCTTCAACTGCGCGCCTTGCTCAGAAGCTGCAGAAAGAGCAACATTTGCATGCAGTAAAAAATCCGCCGTATGAGATGGGATTACCACCTCCGAAGAAAAGGAAGAAGTATCAACGAATAAATGAGGCTCTCCGCACAATGGTAGCTGACTTCGCTAATTGGGATATTGTACAATTTTTGTCTGACGTTGGACGCGTCGTCAACATCAATGTCCTGTGATTGAACTTCATCTATCATGTGATTTCCCCATTTTTGAACTTACGAGGTGATTTCTTATTGAATGAACATTATTAGCTTGTACTTGGTACTCAGCTTCTTCCTGAAGGAAAATTTCTCCCTATGTCTATTCCAGTTCAACCTCTAGCCACATGTGTATAAAACACCAGAACCACCATATTCTCAACGGTGAAATTTTTTCCTGGCGACATTTTGTCCCGGCGACATTTTTTCCGGTGACATTTTGTCTTGGCGACATTTTGCCCGCAACATTTTGTCCGGCGAAAATTTGTCTGCTCATGATTTGAAAGAATTCATCTGCATTTTCTGAGGGCTGAGGGCTGAAACTCATCTGTCATTTCATGTCACCTCAAGATTCTGGCAGTTCTTGAGATGGCTTGAACTAAACGAAAGTACGACAATCTTGACCGGATCCATGAGTGACTCAGACAAAGATTTCGATTACTCATCTGCCATTTTCTGTTGGCTCAGAAGAATAGGAGCAATTTCTTCCAAAAACTACAGCAATCAAAAGCATTATTGCTTCAGTCAACATTAATGACTGGAAAAATGAATAATAGGTTGTGTCGATCGATTGTTCATGGTCCGACAGTATTTAATCCTAAATTTCATTCATAATTGATGAGACTGTACCAGATAGAGTTGATTTCTAGAAAATCCAGACATTCCATCCAATGAACTTCAGTACTGGATGTACAGGGTGTCAGAAAAGTCTCTACCCAATGGGAATACTCATCACATTGAAACTCATGCTTGCACAACAAGTAACTGGGGAAGTTATTAAGCAGAATATGTGCTACTGGTGGCAGGAAAATCCGCATTAGATGTCATGGACCAAAACTGCAAGAATCTCAAGAACTTCTGGTGTGGTGCGGACTACGGGGTACACATGTGTTAGGACCGTTTCTCTTTGAGGGAACATTAAATGGTGAGCGATACCTGAACCTGTTAGGAGATGAATAAATGCCTCATTCTCATGGACTCGGAGAGGTTCTACCAGAGTGGTCCCAACTGGATGGGGCGCACCCTCATTATGCATAACCCATTCGTAATTGGCTTGAAAATTTCCCCAGACGACGAATTTCGAATTGGCGGCGCGGCCCCATGGAATGGGCTCCACGTTCACCGGATCTCACTCCAATTGACTTTTTCTTATGAGAGTTCCTTAAGGCAGGGGTGTAACGAGTAGAAATTGGGAATCTCGATCTTCTCCGTGAGAGGGTCACACATTGGCGCATCTATTGATGGCAGCGAGAGCTTTTTTCGAAGGGTTCACAGGAGTATGAAATGCCGACTGCAAACGTATTGTGAATTGATTGGGGAACATTTCGGGCAATTATGATTTTCGGGTAAAGAGTTTCAATGTATTTCCCATTGGTTAAGACTTTTCGGACACCCTGTACAGTAGAATGCTCTAAATACGGGGGGGAAAAACACTCATCAGAGTTTCAATGATTTCCAGAAAAACCAGTCAGTCCGTCCACCGATCATTGATCAATTTCGAATGCACTGATTACGGAAAAAGACAAACCTTGTTCGATTCTGACCAAATCATCATAGCATATTCGAGCATTTCCGTATACCCTTTCTCCATTGGTTTGGCCCCGAACGAGCTCCTGTGGAAAAGCTTTCGAATGAATCTTCCCTTTACGAGGAGAAACAGAAAATGAGTAAAACCGACCTCCTGCTTACATGTATTCTCGCGGCATGTTCTTGATTTCCCTCTGCCAATATGTCACGGTCTTACGCCAGTCAATCGTGCAAGGGTTGGTGTCATTGCAGAAGGCCTCGTATGCGATCTGTGACATCGAATCTGAACGGGATGCATTTTCGATTAGCATAAAACCTCCTACTTATGAGAAGGGAAGAAATGCCAGATCTCGACTCACCACATGTGGAGCAAAGTTCTCACGTACAACTGTCAGCTTCACCTTGAGCCAACTTCTCAAGATCGCCATTCAACTCCTGTAAGCAGTGTCATTCATGAGCTTACGATAACGGGAGGAAGCATGACCCTCATAGACTCTTTTTCCCCCTTTTTTTCTCCAAAACAGTAAGACGAAGAGGTAGAAAACTTCCACATGGTGGCTTTTATTTTCGGGTTGAGCCCCAACAGAGGCTCTTTCAAAACTTAGTGACCTAATCTTAGATTTAGTCAGGAGTGACAACCGTTTCATACGACAGAACCGACAAGCCTTTTATATTTACTTTCCTACCCATTCTTACCCTGCGTTCATGAATTCATGGCATCCGTGTATAACCTCTTAATGAAATCATTTTCGAGTGTAAGCACTGCAGTTGCCAGAGGGACATTGCTGACCTCAAAGCGGTTCAACTGCTACAGCGATTCTCCCAAGGAGAATCTTTGAGACAAAGAGTCAAAAGTAGAAATTCATTATCGCGATCACAATGAAAGTCGTTCGAAAGTTGAAAGTCGTATTACTACTACCTTCCTGAAATATTTCGCAGAAGTGCCGAGGGGGTCTCATTCTGCGATCTTATATATATTTATCTCATCCTACAGTCTCACTCTGCATTCCCATATTGAGAAGGGCATATCCTCTGGAATCCACTCCCAAGCTCATCTCGAATTTTTTAAAGAATCTTTGGAAGCTGAAAAATGCGGAGCAGGAGATACAACTGTGCCGTATCTCAAGCAATTGCACGAAACAAATTTAAGGGGGAGTCTACGTTTTCGCCTTTCCATTCCGGAGATAGCCAAATTGGTCGAACGTGTAACACGATTTTCAATATATGTAAATTTTCAAAGCCTTCCCGTAAATTTGCACGTGACCACTTCCTATAAAATGCTCTCAGGAAGATAGAGTGTGCTTGTAAACGGAAAAGTGTCTGCCCAGGACGAAGTCCCAGATCAGCTTCTATTCCTGGATTACATGAACGATTTCGATAAAGACCGGAAGAGTAAAATTCGCAATTTTCCGACGATCCGAAATAGGTTTCTCCATCGAGCACGAAGACAGGGCGAGAACCGAGACGGATTTACACCTTTTGGACCAGTGGGGTAAAAAAAAAAAAATTAGTCTCATGAAGTTGAATAAGAAATCCTGGATGAGGATCTCAATAATGATAGATCTCTGAATGCGTTTGGCGAGGATAAACTGGAGGGGGCAAACGGAAAGAGAGACGCAGGGATTGCGATCGATGAGAAACTCACGTTCTCCCCGCGAGTAGGCGACAGTAGCCAAATGTAATGGGATCTTAAGTGCAATCAGTCATTCAATTGCCAATAAGAGCTCGAGCGTTATTCTTTCGTTGTATGGCTGGATCCCATTTAGAGTATTGCGTTCGATTCTGGAGGCTTGCTAAGTGATCGAACGGCGCTCGAGAAGGGTCGGAAGCAAGCTACGAAATGATAAAAGAGGTAAGGGGGCTTCCATGCAAGAAGCGTTTGGCAACGTCGGGACCTTATGCAGGTTTACTCCTTCCGAAGGAGGCATGCGAGGGGGAACTCATCCAGGCTTCATTTTTAAGATCAATAAGGGAATCGATAAGGGTGAGCGTTATCGATTCTTCTGATTTAGCGGAAACAGCACGACAGGAAACCGGCTTAAGTTGCACAAACCAGAATTGACACTCAGATTGCGGAATGAATTCTTTACACGTAGGGTGGTAAACGCTTGTAATGCGTTGCTTGACGATGTAAGGACTAACTTTAAGATGTTATAAGATGCCTTTATTGGCAAAAAAAGGGAACAATGCGGCTGTAAGTAAGTAGGTAGAAGACGTATAGTTTCCACAAAAAATATATATATATATTGTCGCTCCTTTGGCGCTCCATTCCCAGGATAGTGATTCATTCAATAATTTATTTTCAAAGTGGGAAAAACGTATCAAAAGTATGTGTCCTTCGGAATGTGTATCGAGGGAGAACAAACCGATATTTTCATCAGAATAATTACTCGCATTGTTTCTTGTGTGCCTAAATTCAAATTTATTCATAATCTGCCCTGAGGGGACATATTTGAAAAGTAGAACATGTACTCAGCAATCGAACAGGCACTTCTGCTCCAAGTTTCAACTTTCTTTAATTCACTCCTTTATCGAGTCAGAAAAGTTTCGGAAAATGCACCTTTTGGAAAAAAAAATGTCCTCAATCGTTTTACCTGAAAATTAACATTTTTACTGATAATAGTACTCGGAGAACTACGTGCATACCAAGTTTCAGCCTTATCCGTTTGCTCTTTGCTGGTGCAACAATATCTTTGGAAAAGCCAACACAGCCAAAAGCTGTGCCCCTAGGTATGCACCACAAACTTGCTTTTTTTTCTGAACTCACCATCCCCTCAGTTATGGCTGTGCCAAGTTTCACATTTCTACTTCTGTACAATTCAGTGGGCAAAAAAAAATTATTTGAAAACGTCACCCCCCCAAAAAAATGCCCCAGGGCATGTATCCAAAACTTGACATTTTTCCTGAACTCAGAGTC